AAACTTTTTCTATGATCGATCGAGCATTTTTCTATAGAAATTATTTCCATGATAGAATGATCACTATATAAAATTCCTTAACTTCTCTATAGAATATCTTGCCATGATCGGTTGATAACTTTCTATAACAAATTAATCCATGATCGATCGGTTTCATGACCATGCGATCACATTTCATATCTTGGATTGATCCTTTTTCTATAGAAAATCTGTTTATGATCGCTATAGAAGATCTCTCCATGATCCATAGAATACTTTTCTATTGAAGATCTCTCCATGATCGTTTGATCACTATTCTATAGGAAATCTCTTGATGATCGATCAATCACCTTTATGTCCTTTATCACCTCAATGATCGATTGAGCATTTTTCTATAGAAATTATTTCCATGACAGAATGATCACTATATAAAATTCCTTAATGATCGATCGATAACTTTTCTATAGAATATCTTGCCATGATCGGTTGAAAACTTTCTATAACAAATTTATCCATGATCGATCGGTTTCATGACCGTGCGATCACATTTCAATAGAAAATTTATCTAGGATTGATCATTTTTCTATAGAATATCTCTCTATGATCGTTTCATCACTATTCCATAGGAAATCTGTTAATGATCGAATATTCCTCCATGATAGATCGATCAATTTCTCTAGAAGATCTCTTCATGATCGATAGATCACTTTTTTATAAAAAAACTCTCCATGATGGTTTTCTACAGAAGATCGTTCACTTTTCTATGGAAATTCTATCAATGACCGATCGATCAATTTTGAGTAGAAAATTTCTCCATAGATCGATCATTTTCTTATAGAAAATGTCCCCATTATAGATCAATCTTTAAACAAAATTTTTTAGACTTTTATTCAGTTCAAGATCTGGAAATACTTCTGAGTCGATTAAGCTATGTCTCTTTGTCCGTGCGTCCGTCCGTTTGTCCGTCTGTCTGTATGTCTGTCTGTCTGTCTGTCTGTCTGTCTGTCTGTCTGTCTGTCTGTCTGTCTGTCTGTCTGTCTGTCTGTCTGTCTGTCTGTCTGTCTGTCTGTCTGTCTGTCTGTCTGTCTGTCTATCTGTCTTTCCGTCCATCCCTCCATCCGTCTGTCTGTCATGTAATAATTTTTTAAATAAAAAAAGGTTTAAATTTCTAATGTCAAGCAATTGTTAAAACCATTCTGAACCCAATAATATTTCTAATAAGTTTTAATATTTTTATTATAAGCCTTATAATTATCTTTTATTCGTTTCTCCTTGATAATGAGAAATCATCAAGTTTTATTGACCATTTGATGATGACAAACAACTAAAGTTAAACAATAAATTTATGCTTATCACATATTTTAAGAGGTCTAAACTAAAATTCTTCCCACTAAATAGCGACAATAAATGCTGCCCCAACCTCTTGTCTGGGTAGTTAAGCACCCTTAATTATTTTCTTTTTTGCGTCAACAAGAACTGAAGAATAAATGAGAAGGGAAGGTTATAACTTTCCCAGAAAAAACACAAAACTTTTTTGGTCCCCATATAAAACTTTAATTTCTATTGATTACAGAAATGCAAGGAATAAAGTTTTTCCAACATTTTCTTGCAACCACCACAAGGAAAAAGGGAACAAAATTTACTTTAAGATTTTGTTCTTTAAGTTTTATATATCCTGATTAAATTGATGATGTTTGATGACTTTTGAGGTGATTACAATGGATTTAACAATGGGTATTCCCCCCTTCTCCCCACTAGATGTTATAGAAAACTTTCTCTTCCTGTAACACATGCAGTTTACACTCACACACACACACACACATACATATTGGTGTTACTAATGTTGACCACTTGCTGTTCAAACAATCAAACTTGAACTTCTAATCAGGGAAAACAATTTTAAAGGAGGGGGGTTTGTCCAACACTCAAAACCCCATAAATAAAAGTGTATACATATAGAGTAGCTCTAGACCACATATGGGGTTTTTCTTTTCCAACATCAATATGTTAAAACCACCCTGGTCATTACATGCAATTCGACATCCATCAATACGCCTTAAAGTATTTCAATATTAAAAGTAGAGAAAAAATCAACTGAAATAATGAGAGTCATTCCTTACACAGGAAGTGTTTTTTGTTGTTGTTGTAAAGAAGTGTTGGTAAGTACATCAAAGTACAACTTCTGCTGATGAAGATGATGTTGATGCTACTGCACCCTCATCATCGTGTTGTTGGCTACCACACACACAAACTCCAACACTTATTGGTGGCACTCATGTGTTGTTGATGATGTTTATTTTCTACACAATAATTGTTTAAATGAAATGATTTTTTGGTTTTAAGGAGCAGTATGAAGAATAGCGTTAGTTTGGGGGATGCTTCAACATTAATTAAAAATTTAAGAGAAAAATTTACCAGTTTTTAACTTTCACACAGATTTTGTTTCAATTTAAAGACCACACAGATTTACTGTTCTGTTAGATACCTCCGAGAAGTAGTAAAAACAACAGAGTTATTGACCAACTTTTTAACTAACTAACTAACTAACTAACTAACTAACTAACTAACTAACTAACTAACTAACTAACTAACTAACTAACTAACTAACTAACTAACTAACTAACTAACTAACTAACTAACTACTAACTAACTAACTAACTAACTAACTAACTAACTAACTAACTAACTAACTAACTAACTAACTAACTAACTAACTAACTAACTAACTAACTAACTAACTAACTAACTAACTAACTAACTAACTACTAACTACTAACTAACTAACTAACTACTAACTAACTAACTAACTAACTAACTAACTAACTAACTAACTAACTAACTAACTAACTAACTAACTAACTAACTAACTAACTAACTAACTACTAACTAACTAACTAACTAACTAACTAACTAACTACTAACTAACTAACTAACTAACTAACTAACTAACTAACTAACTAACTAACTAACTAACTAACTAACTAACTAACTAACTAACTAACTAACTAACTAACTAACTAACTAACTACTAACTAACTAACTAACTACTAACTAACTAACTAACTAACTAACTAACTAACTAACTAACTAACTACTAACTAACTAACTAACTAACTAACTAACTAACTACTAACTAACTAACTAACTAACTAACTAACTAACTAACTAACTAACTAACTACTAACTAACTAACTAACTAACTAACTAACTAACTAACTAACTAACTAACTAACTAACTACCTAACTAACTAACTAACTAACTAACTAACTACTAACTAACTAACTAACTACTAACTACTAACTAACTAACTAACTAACTAACTAACTAACTAACTACTAACTAACTAACTAACTAACTAACTAACTAACTAACTAACTAACTAACTAACTAACTAACTAACTAACTAACTAACTAACTAACTAACTAACTAACTAACTAACTAACTACTAACTAACTAACTAACTAACTAACTAACTAACTAACTAACTAACTACTAACTAACTAACTAACTAACTAACTAACTAACTAACTAACTAACTACTAACTAACTAACTAACTAACTAACTAACTAACTAACTAACTAACTAACTAACTAACTAACTACTAACTAACTAACTAACTAACTAACTAACTAACTAACTAACTAACTAACTAACTAACTAACTAACTAACTAACTAACTAACTAACTAACTAACTAACTAACTAACTAACTACTAACTAACTACTAACTAACTAACTAACTAACTACTAACTAACTAACTAACTAACTAACTAACTAACTAACTAACTAACTACTAACTAACTAACTAACTACTAACTAACTAACTAACTAACTAACTAACGAACTAACTAACTAACTACTAACTAACTAACTAACTACTAACTAACTAACTAACTAACTAACTAACTAACTAACTAACTAACTAACTAACTAACTAACTAACTAACTACTACTAACTAACTAACTAACTAACTAACTAACTTAACTAACTACTAACTACTAACTACTAACTAACTAACTAACTACTAACTAACTACTAACTAACTAACTAACTAACTAACTAACTAACTAACTAACTAACTAACTAACTACTAACTAACTAACTAACTAACTAACTAACAAACTAACAAACTAACTAACTACTAACTAACTAACTACTAACTAACTAACTAACTAAGTAAACTAACGATCAGTAATCTTTCCCATACAAAATGATGAACGATCAGCAAATTTTTTCTATAGAAAATTAATCAGTGAATGTTTTTTATAGAAAATTGAAGAAGGATCAGTGAATATATTCTATAGAAAATTGATAAACGAGCATTGCATTTTTTCTATAGAAATTTGATGAACCATCAATAAATCTTTTCTATAGAATACGATGTATGAATATGACGAATGATCAGTGAATGTTTTCTATAGAAAATTGATATTATAATTGAAAATTGAAATATAATATTTCTATTGAAAATTGGTGAACAATCTGTGAAATTCTTCAGTAGAAATTAATGAACGATCAGTGTAAAATGATGAACGATCAGTGAATACTTTTTAGAGAAAATGGGTGAAAGATCAGTGAATTTTATCTATAGAAAATCGATGAACGATCACTGATACTTTCCAGAGAATATTGATGAATGATTTGTGAAACTTTTCTATAGAAAATTGATGAACGATCGGTGAATATTTTTTATAGAAAATTGATAAGCTGATGTGCATTCATTGAATATTTTCAATAGAAAACTGGTGAACGATCATTGATCCCTTACTGTAGAAAATTATTGAACAATTGGCGATCTTTTTCTATAGACCATTGAAAAGATTTGATGAGCGATCCAGGTAAACTTTTTATAAACAGATCTGATGTGCAATCAGTGAATATTTTATGTAGAAAACTGATGAAAGATCAGTGTTAATTTTCTGTAGAAAATTGATGAACAATCAATGTTCTTTTACTATAGAACAGTGAAATATAACTATTTATGAGAATTTGCAAAAACGATCAGTAGTCATTGATATTTGAGGAACGATAATAAAAATATATTCTGTGAAAAATTTATAGAGGATTAACGATCAACGATCAATGGATTTAAACTTTCATTTATAAAGAATCTATTAACAATTATTATCAATTATCAGTGAAGGATTATCAACGATTAGAGTATAATTGTTAGTTGATCGATATATATTTTCAACGATTGATCAGTGATCTGTTACTTTTTCATCGCTAGGTTTTATAACGAATTTATTGTATTTTCTATATAAATCTGTTGAAAGTTCTTTGTTTTCTACGTTTTAAATGCTGCCAAAAATATCCTCTAATTTAATATTGAACTTTTTCAAATGCTCAGCTATCCAGTTATCTAATTTCTTTTGAATTTCGGGAGTTAATTCATCTTTATGAGAGCCCACAACACCGCGGCGCATAAATCTAAAGAGAATTGGATTAATTAAAAAAAAACATCATAATTTATATAAACAAAACTTACTCAAAGTCAGCCCGCACATTGGGACTGCCATGACCAGACTTTATATTAAAAGTGGGATTTACACGTTTATTGGCTGGAAATTTAGAAAAGGAGTTATTCTCTATTTGCTTTCACAGCTTGGTAAGTGATCAATTTAATTACCCTTCATTTGCTCAAATGATAAATGTTTTTCCAATTGTTGAAGTTGTGCCTCACTTAGTTCAGGTCTCTCTAAAAATTGGTTGAGATTTATTAAAACTGTCCTCAAATCTCCCTTCATATCTTCATAGGTGGTAAAGAATATATTGTGCTCCTTACGCATACGCCAAAAATCCATAATATGCTCCCAATAGGGACAATACATAATATCGTTATTGATCAAATCCTCTACGAATTCATTAATATCACCCTGCCAGGTGCCTAGACCACGATGAAAGTGGAAATAGGAGACTACCATGTCTTTGGGGTTGCGAGCACAGTAGACAATCTGGAAACAAAGAAAATTAGGATTGTGATAAAAAAGAGCTTTTGTGTCCATGATTCTAAAGGGTCAAGTTAACCAGTATTGGGTTCATATTTGAATTATTTGCAATTATTCTTAATGCGTATAGTTCTCTTTCAGTTTACTAATCAGTGAGAGCTTTTCAAAAGCTTTTTTTAATCATTTTAACAGTGATTTTGCAAAAATTTGAAAACTTTTCCTTTATTCACCTTCGATTTCTTTTGCCAAATTTGTTTGGGTATTAAATGGGCCGGTAGATGGGTTTTAAGAACTCTGGGTGAAGCAGCCTGTTCCGCCAAATCAATGGTATTCTTGGGTATATCGGTGTACAAAGCACTTAAGCTAAAAACAAAGAAAATTGAAAGCATAATTCCCAAAAATCCTTCAAATCTCTTACTTACTCCATAAAAACACTACGAAAAGGCAAATCTTCTGCATTGGCCTTGGTAAAATCCAAATTATTTACCAACAGCCAACAGGCCTCTTGTATCCAGGTAGTGCCACATTTTGGAAATGTCACCACATAAAGATCATCATCTTTTACCTCAAATTCATACAGTCTTTTGAAATATGCCTCCGAAATGGGTAAAGAACACCAACGTTCCTGCCAGTTCTCCACCTCCAAAGGTATATTTGCACCATTTGCTGTTATTTCCAGAAAAGGGCGATTTTGACGTTTGTCTATGTTAAGCGAGGAACGTGTACGCACTGTAAACATTTCCATTAAACTAAAATAATAATTGTAAAGTTTTATATAAAAATATTAAACAACAAAAATGAATAGTGTATTATAGATTATTTTTTTGTATTTATTATTTTCACTTATAGTCGTCTGCTATATGAGGGGCAAGCCCACAATTGTATGCAAAGATGTTGATGTGAAAAAGCTTTGATGTTGAAAGCTTCTGTTTGTATTACACCAAATGCACACACTTTAGTGATCACTTGCTTATTGTGTTCTCTCAGATGATAAGAAAAGCTGTGTTTGTTAAAATGGCATAAATGATAATTTTTGAAAATTTTAAATTAATTTAAATTTTATGTACATTTAGCTTTCTAAAAGCTTGAACAAGCACACATTTTATTTAAATCCAGGAAAAAGTAGAAACTGTTAGACTTAAACACCGGGTCTGTTCCAGTTCTGTTCTAGTTCTGTTCTAGTTCTGTTCTAGTTCTGTTCTAGTTCTGTTCTAGTTCTGTTCTAGTTCTGTTCTAGTTCTGTTCTAGTTCTGTTCTAGTTCTGTTCTAGTTCTGTTCTAGTTCTGTTCTAGTTCTGTTCTAGTTCTGTTCTAGTTCTGTTCTAGTTCTGTTCTAGTTCTGTTCTAGTTCTGTTCTAGTTCTGTTCTAGTTCTGTTCTAGTTCTGTTCTAGTTCTGTTCTAGTTCTGTTCTAGTTCTGTTCTAGTTCTGTTCTAGTTCTGTTCTAGTTCTGTTCTAGTTCTGTTCTAGTTCTGTTCTAGTTCTGTTCTAGTTCTGTTCTAGTTCTGTTCTAGTTCTGTTCTAGTTCTGTTCTAGTTCTGTTCTAGTTCTGTTCTAGTTCTAGTTCTGTTCTAGTTCTGTTCTAGTTCTGTTCTAGTTCTGTTCTAGTTCTGTTCTAGTTCTGTTCTAGTTCTGTTCTAGTTTCAGTTCTAGTTCAGTTCTAGTTCAGTTCTAGTTCTGTTCTAGTTCTGTTCTAGTTCTGTTCTAGTTCTGTTCTAGTTCTGTTCTAGTTCTGTTCTAGTTTCTGTTCTAGTTCTGTTCTAGTTCTGTTTCTAGTTCTGTTCTAGTTCTGTTCTAGTTCAGTTCTAGTTCAGTTCTAGTTCAGTTCTAGTTCTGTTCTAGTTCAGTTCTAGTTCTGTTCTAGTTCTGTTCTAGTTCTGTTCTAGTTCTGTTCTAGTTCTGTTCTAGTTCTGTTCTAGTTCTGTTCTAGTTCAGTTCTAGTTCAGTTCTAGTTCAGTTCTAGTTCAGTTCTAGTTCTGTTCTAGTTCTGTTCTAGTTCTGTTTTAGTTCTGTTCTAGTGTTTTTTATCCCACAATTTGTTAATAAAAACTTCTTTTATATTGTTAAACAAATCTTAAATATTATGGTTATTTTTGTCTTCTTATCACAGCCTATTTAAAAGGCAAACAAATCATAAAATAGTTTCTTGAGAATAAAATACAAAATCATTATTTTTCAGTTTTTTTTTGTAGCACGTTTGCCAAAACTGATACCGGTTTATCAATCCAAGGCAGAGGGATTTAAAACACGGTTGAGTGTACCCACTCAATTGATACTGCTCTAATCTAATCACAGCCATATGGGTGACATTTAAAAGACTTTAAGCAAAATAAATAATTTGTAATTATTTTGTTTAATGATCAGAGTGATTTAGTTGCTGCAAAGATTTGAAGAAAGAAGCACTGTTTAAACAATATGGTGGCTGCTGAAAATATTTTAAAATCGGTGGAACATGTCAGTGAGGCATCTAAGGCGAGAATACCTTTTCCCATGAAAAGATATGCCACCGAGGGTAAAAATATACCCTTAAAGAAAAATTGGTCAGAGACCTGGTGTACTTTGTCGGCTCATTTCGAGACAGTGTGTGATCAATATTTCAATTTGGAATTGCGTAAAGATGATGTGTTTGTGGTGACTTTTATGAAATGTGGCACTACTTGGATGCAGGAATGTGCCTGGTTGTTGTTGAATAACTTGGACTATGAGAAGTCAAAAGAGGAGGTTGTGATGATCAGGAGTCCTTTCTTAGAGTGAGTGTTTATATGAGAAAATTAAGTGAAACGTTATAAATTTGGAAATCATTTTTAGTTTTCACAGCATTATGCCTGGTCTACTAAATCATGTAGAGTTGATTGAGAAACTTCCCAGTCCCCGTTTAATCAAATCTCATTTACCGGCCAATCTGTTGCCTCTACAAGTCTGGGAAAAGAAACAAAGGTTAATTTTTAGACTTTAATAAACAGTCCCTATGAAAGCTTACCCTTTCCCCCAATTTCAGATCATTTATGTCGCTCGGAATGCTAAGGATGTCATAGTATCCTCCTTCCATTTCGTGAAAAACTTAGATATGTGGCGTGGTGATAATTTCCATGATTATGTTGATGACTTCCTTAATAATGAAATTATTTACACCCATTTCTGGTCACATATAGTGGACTTTTGGAAAATGCGTAATGAGCCTTTCATATTCTTTGTCACCTATGAAGAAATGAAACGTGATTTGGCAAATGTTTTGCAAAGACTTTGTGTGTTCCTAGAGAGACCTCAATTGTCAGAGAAAGAAATGGAAGGACTTTTGCAACATTTATCATTTGATAGTATGAAGAGTAAGTATTAGATCAATATCTTTAGAAAGTTATGAAATAAATTATAATCATTTTCAGAGAACAAGAAAACCAATTTGACCGATCTACTCAAAGATGACAATCCCGCAGTTAAGGAAGACTTTCAGTAAGTTTTCTTAAACCTTAACCACTAAACAATTATATACAATATTTCCATAATTAACTTCTCTTTAGATTTATGCGCCGCGGTATTGTGGGTTCCTTTAAGGATGAGCTAA